TATAAAGAAGCTATACATTACTAAGGATTTGTATCTTACTATAGAGAAGCTATACATTACTAAGAATTTGTATCTTACTATAGAGAAGCTATACATTACTAAGGATTTGTATCTTACTATAGAGAAGCTATACATTACTAAGGATTTGTATCTTACTATAGAGAAGCTATACATTACTAAGGATTTGTATCTTACTATAGAGAAGCTATACATTGATGAAGATGTGTAGCTCGCCATAGAAAAACTAGATATTACTGAGAATTTAAACAACACCGATACATTACTATGCAGTATTACATTACTATGAGAATATCTTGTATTACAATTTCGTGGAAATTTCCCCCTTTTTTACACATTGTGTTTTTTTTTTCTAGTAGCAATTATATGAAATTATTTTGTAAAAATCTTTTATACAGTAAACCTGGTCTTTGTAGTTTACAATTTGATATATAGATGTACTAATTTATCAAGACAGAATTTATTTTTTTTCCAATATAATTAGCATCGTGTAGACCATATAGGCTTTCCCCATAACATGTACATTCGACCCCAGAACTCAATGACAAATTCCCGATTATAAAATGAGTGGATTAAAGTGCATCTTTCCTTCCCACAAAAAGTATATTTCCTAGTTTCAACTTGTGATGGCAATATTGTGTATTGAATAACATTAGCAGGAAGTATATTGTATAATTATTAAAAAACAGTTATTAATGAATATTTTAAACAAAGATGAAAACATAAATTATGTGGCGAAACACATTTATAACTGGTTGAAAATACTAGAAAATTCGATTAAAATTAAAATGCTGAAACAAGCTGCTTCAGAAAATACAAAATAACCAGTTCTATGTTTAGAAATTTGAGCGTCTTGTATGATTTTCTCTGTATTTTTAGTTTTATTTTGTATGTCTTCAGAATTTGTTACTTTATTGTACTTTTCATCAAAACCACAAATATGAGGTACGATGACAATCTAATCGACATTCGCTGAACGATTCACGAGGATGTAACTTACAGTATTTTGTGTATAATCTTATTATACTCCCTTTGTGGACTATAGAGGGCTTTCGACTAAAGCGATAAAGAAGCTAAATAGAGCAGTCTAAAGTTGCGTTTGTTACGCCTTAATTAGGGACGACGTCAACAGATCGATGTCGGATAAAAAACTTATTTGCTTTAGTTTGAGGGTGGGTGTGTGTGTGTGGGGGGTGACCTCAAAAAGTTTCCATACTACAAAAACTATTTTATTTTTCAAAAACATCTTTGTATTTGTAGTTCGTTTTTTTTCTATCCAATTATGTACAAAAATAACCGAAAATGAAAAAAAACAACAACCACACATCCAAGACAAGAAAATGGTTTGGTCAGAGTGTAAATATGAGCGTCAAATTAGGTCAATTTCAGGGCGTGGAACCTAGAGAAAAAAGTTATGCTGATGCAATTTGGATTTGTATTAAAAATAAGAAAGTTAAGGGTGACACATGCATACAATGTGTAATGACAATTTCATTTTACTACCTACCTTTGTAAATTAAATGTTCTTCTTAAAAGAATGGTACAAATA